TGTACTTTCCCATTCCACTGCTCTGCCCTCCTGTTACAGCGGAAACCGGGATGGATTGATGTCCAGCTCCTGAACACATGTAAAATTTGTACAAAATATCTTCTATGAAAATGATTTGTAATCTGTAGACTTAATACCTGGGAGATAATCTTGAGATGTAAAATCCCCATCCTTTGGGTTGTGGGTTTTTTGTTTTCTCCAAATAAATCTGATCTTGAAAGTGGACCTAATGCAGACTTATTTGCCACATGCTCCCCACCCCGTTGCTGCTTACTGGGCTCCCGTTCCCAGCCCCACTTGTGCTCTCAGCTGTGGGCACCTTTGTGAGCAGGAAGTCCATATTGGTGCTTACTGCAGCCCTAGAACCGAATGTCCCAGCCTGCTTCAACCCTACCATCCCCCTCTCCAGCCCTGTGGAGTCATGGAACATTCTGCTCACATCTGGGGCAGTGCTGGACAAACCCGTATCTCCCTTAGTCGGCCCCCATAGGTGGGATGAGTTTTTGGTTGACCAGCTGGTCTGGTTAACCATCCCTCTGACCTTAGTAGAAATCTCCCAAACAGAAAGGCAGATGTCCATTGTTGCATTGCAGCACAGGGCTTAGGGCAGCGGCAGAAAATCCCTCAGGTCACAAGGTGAGGGTGGAGCCTGGGAGGGAATCCAGGAAACCCTTTGAGAGCACAGTGCTTCACTTCGCAGACCCAGGCAGCTGTGCCGGATGCTCTGCAAGCTCCTGGGTCCTATGGATGCCTCCAGGCAGCTCCAGCCTTCCCGGAGCCACTGCACATGCTCCACTTCTGCCCCTCTGCAACACAGATGGAGGCAGATGCTGGTGCGGGGCCCTGCGGGGTTCGCTGAGAGGGAGGGAGGAAAGCGCCCATGGCTGCTGTGTCTCAACACCAGTGCTGCCGTTTGCATGGAATCCGTCTCCGTTCGTGGCCACAGCTCATGTGTCGAGCAGAAGGGCACCACAGGGTTTTGATGCCAGGTCTCTGAAGCAGCTCACCAGCCTTTCTTCCAAGGAGCCTTTGGGTCGGTCCAACCCCCAGGCTTGGCGCTCAACAGTCTGTACCACGCACTCCGCTCCCCTGCTGTCAGCTTCCTTTTTGCCACTATGATGCACAGAAGGAACTTCCAAGACTGAAGTTTGCCAAGAGCTGATACCTCCTCTTTCTCCTTTGTGCCATTCCGGAGCTCCTAAGGTCCAGGAAAAATTCAGCTGTGTGTGACCCTTAGCAGGGACCCTTAGCTTGAGACAACAGAATGGGAAGCAGTTTGCACGGAGTCTTGTGACCCTCCTAAAATCCACATAGACGTGTGGATCCTCCTAGGCCAAAGTGCAGACCTGACGCAACTTACAACGTCAGATCTTGAGTGGCCAAGGAGGTGGGGGTACAGCATTCCAACTGGAGGCTGGGCAGGCCCTGAGTGCCCCAGCCTACGTGGCCCAGCTCCCCCTAGACAGAAGTTCACACTGTTCCGGGTTCCAAGGCAGTGAGGTCGAGGTCTTGGTGCCCAGAGCCTTCCAAGTGCTACTCGAGCCCGCGGCATCTGGTTTCTCAGGAAATGGAAAAGCTGCACATCTGCTCCTGGGAAGCATTGTCAAATAGCCCCGTTTCCCACCAAACCTTGTAGCCCCTAGGGCCCAAAGTGTAGGGGCGGGCTTGCCTTCCCGCTCCTCAAAAAGGAGTTTGGAAGGGTCCAGCCAAGTCGCACCCCGCCCAGCTGCAGCAGCCTCCCTGCTGGACAATACGCCCTCTGTCCTCCGGGCCAGGAGATCCGCCTCTGGAGTCAGCTCAGCCCCTTCCCCCAGCTCTTCCTGGTTCCCAGCGCCCAAAACCCTCCACTGGAGTTCCTTGACCTAGTGCATTTCCAGCCACCACAGTCCCAGACCTTCAATGCTCCCTTCTGTAGCCCCCCTGCCCCTTCCAGGATCTGAGCACACCCAGCACAGGCATGGGATCACCCCAGGAAGAGGAGGGTCAGCCTCTGGTGCCAAGATGTGCTGCCTTCTGCATGGTCAAGGTAAGAACGCCTGTGTGGAGGGAGGGTCAGGGCATCTCTGAAATGGCCTCACCCTTATTAACATCCTCCTGGCTCCCTCCCAAGGTTCCCACTGTTAGGAAAGGGATGATCATCAGGATAGCCAATCCTCTTCACCCACCAGTTTAGATTTCCCTCCCAGCCAGCTGCCGCCTCGAATATGCACTCCCAACCTTTCTCCTCAGCCCTTCCTGGGACCTCCCAAAACCCAACCGACCCCCTCATCTCCAGCTTGAGACAACAGAATGGGAAGCAGTTTGCACGGAGTCTTGTGACCCTCCTAAATTCTGGAGCTTTAAAATCTCTCGGGCCCGCAGGGGTGGAGGGGGTGGTATTCCACCCCCGGGGTATGCATCCTAGTGTCCAGCCAAAGACCCTAATCGCCACTGGGAGGACCAGACAATGAGAGCCAGCTAGCAGTAGGCTCCACGGGCATGAAGAAATCTTCCTCGCTCCTGTAACTAGATGATGTGATCAAATCTTACACAGAATGACCTTCAGCCCTACCCTCCCTGCAGTAGTCTCCAATCTAGATCACTTCCCAATCTTAACTGTGTTGCTAACATGTCCCTCCACCCAAGCTTCCCCCGTACCCCCCCCCCCACAGAGCTTTCTACCCCCCTCCCCACCCGCCTCCGTGAGTCCCTGATTTAACCTCTGAAATTGCTTGTTGTACACCAACTTAGGACGAAAAGGGACTCTCCAGTCCCAGCCCCACCAACAAGTGGCCCGAGGTGACCCACATCATCACCAGGCACTTCCTCCGCCTGCAAGCTTGGGGGGTGCTCCACCCAGTAGTAATCGGACCCAGAGCCCAGGGGAGGACAGCTGGTGGTGATGGCTGCGCTGGGCAGGCGCTGGGCATTGAGCCCTGGGCACTGGATTCTCAGAATCTCTCCCCGCCCCCACCCCCTTCCCAGTTTTCATCATGGAAATTCTAGTGGGGAGGGTGAAGGTGCCGGAAAGTTTCAGGAAGTGCCCACTGCTAAAGACCCGGAGGGAACCTAGGAATGGCCATAAGCAGAGGAGAACTGCCAGGAGGCGTTTCCGAGACTATGTTACAGGAGTAGAATGCCTTTTTGTCCGAGGATCAGCAGGTGGTTTCGAACTGCTAACCTTGCAATTAGTGCAACTTCTACACCAAACTCATTAGCTCCATCAGGAAGCCCCTATTCAATACTGGTCCAAAAACTTTCGAGGGGGATGCTTCCACCGTAGACCTCCCTCCGCTGGGAAAGCCTGGGGCTTGAGTGAAATGTGAAGGCGGCTCTTAGGGAGTGGGAGTGCCTGCCGTCTCAACGTGGGGCGCTGGGCGATATGGACTGGAGTTGTGTGGCATGGGGTGGAGAGGCATCCCCTGAAGGAGGGTCCTCTGCCGCCCGTGTTGAGTGAGTTCTTTTGCAGGAATAACACGAAAGGTGTGTGGGACACAACACGGGGAGTCTTCGCCTGGCTCTGGCGTCTGGGTGCGCGGTGGCGCTGGGGCAGGGGGTTCTGCTTGGGGCTGTGTGCACGCCCATTGCCAAATCAACTCGTGTGGGTCGGGGCGCGGGCTGAGCCTGGGCTCTTCGCACTCTTGATTCTATCCCCTTCGGGGCCACTGCTTCCTCGGCGTCTGGCTGGCTCGCGTGTGCCTTTTTGCCGACGTCCCTCCAGGTCAGCCTTCCCTCGGCTATCTGTCGCCATCTCTGGGTCTCTCCCGTCTCTGAGAGTCTCCTGTCCCCGTGTTCTCCGTGTCTTGCTCCCAATCTCCCGATCACTCCCTGGCTGGGCTCCTGGCCGCTTTGTGAGTCTGCGTTCGCGGGAGAAGGTGGAGGAGAGGGAGAAAGGAGAGAGGCCGAGGGGGCGGGGAGCGGGCGGG